CAAAGATAGTAAATTGTGCTTAACTCACAAGAAAACACTTACTGCTCACAATATATCACACATACCTCAGACCCATGGGGGTGCCCTGCTTTTATAGCCAACACTGACTTAATTTGTGTAGAAGCCTCACTTTAGGTGACTCAGGCTCAATGCTCATCCTGGATTCTCAGCTAGATAAGGATAAACTCCCTAAGAGCTTTATCTTTATCCAGACTGAGATCCTCCCCTATTCTAGGACTCTTGTCTCTTATTCACTCATCTCAGATTCCGGTATCTTCGCAGATAACCTCGGCCTAGCCAAGATCATCTCGGCGTATGACCAGGCCACGTGGCATCTTGGCTGACACCTCGGCGTCACCCTGGCCACGTGCTGTCATTCACAAAACATGTCCCCACACTAATTTTGATAGAGAATTGGACGTGTGGAAAAATGAGAGACATTAAAATTATATATTGAGTTATGTAATTGTTGCGATGAAAAATAAAGGTTGTCTTCTTCTTCTATTACGATTTATCTGGTTATATCTCCAATTAATACATCAGGTGTGCTTCTATATTATCATTGAATATTGCTTTCCTTTTTTTAGACATTTTGTCTCATAATTATTTGTGTTATGAAATTTATTGCATTTGTGCTTGCTAAAGATATTAGATGGACCTAATACAAGAAGTGTAAATTATTTCAATGTCATTCTCAAGATTAGAAGTACAAAAAAATATACACAAAAAGTATATGAATAGACAAGATTTTATAAAATTTGTTTGTGACTCTCACTTTTTGAAAATCTTATAATTTATTTATTTTTTGTATTATATTTTATGTTTAGTTTTTATACTTTCTTTATATATATATATATATATATTCTTTTTTTTTCTTTAAAAGTCTATTTTAAAAAATTAATTAATAAATAAATAAATCATTTTCTATTTCAAACAATTTTATTTATGTTTTTATTATTTATTTTTTTCTTAAAGTAGTTTTAGTTTTGGACAATTACTTTTTTTTCTATATATTGTAATTTTGTGCATTTTAAGTGTATGATATTTTCACTAATACACTTGAAAATATACTATGAAAGAAGTATCATGCAAAAATCAAGCAAGAAAGAGAAAAATAAATAAAACAACAAAATGAATATGAGTAAAGATCAAAGATTTGGTTTGTGTTTCTCAAAAAAATTTGAGAAAAATTCTCTACAAATAAGTTTTCAAAAGTAATCAAACCAAACACATTTTCTCAAATTTTTTTTTCAAAACTTGTTTGGTTTACAAATTTTCCAAACAAATCTCTCTCTCATACACATTAAATCAATAACTTTTTCCAAAACTCTCTCTCAAAATAATTTTTCAAAACATCTTTTGAAAAAAAACCAAACCAAACAAATTTTCGTACTTTTTGTCTCAAAACATATTTCTCAAATACAAACCAAACAAGGCCACTCCCAAAGCAAGTAAACAAACAAACAAGCAAGCAGAATAGAATGTTTAACAATAGACATTTGAAAATTGGCAACAAAATTTTATAACTTTCCTTTTTGATAAGAAAATTTATTTGGTACTAGCTAAATAAAATGCTTTTAAAATAATTTTTTTTTTAATTTGAAATTAAAACTATAGTAAATTTATGTAAGCATAATTGCTAATCACATTTTTTCACTTAATGAATAATATTTATATTGACTACCTTTTTCAAGTTTTTTTTTTAAGTATTTATATAGAAGTAAAAAAATGCCGTTATGAACAAATTTTTTTCTTAATTTAGTTATAAATTTTTCCCATACATTATTTTGAAATTTTTAATAAAAGCAAACATAAAATAATTGATTGAAAATATGTTACTTTTGTTATATTTCTTTTTCTGTGTGCACACAAAAAAATAAAAATAAAAATAAAAATTCGCATATAGACAAATAATTAGAACACTAGTTCAATTTAACGAATAAGTATTATATTAGAAAACTGTTGGGTAGTTACTAGAGGTGAAATTTTAGCATTTACTAATTTTAGGAGTATTTTGGATTTTAAAATAAAAACGTAACAAATTTTTTTAAGTAATGTATTTTACATAATAAAAATAGATTATATATATAAACATTATAAGGGAATCTTTGATTGCATACAATTCTCATCTTCCTTCTTGCTTTTGGTTTTGGTTTTGCTTTTCAACCATTGTTTGTGAGAACTCTCTCCTCTTGTTGCCTATTCTCTCAAACCAAAAGGTCGTGCTTCATAGAATGTTTGTGCCCAGAGATTACTAAAGCAACATACTTCACTTATTAATTATCTTTATTACTGCAGATGTAAGATTTCACGGATGGTAATTCACACTATCAAGCCAAGAATCGTCTATTCTCAAATTTATGTCTCTGTTTCAATACATCTCTTGTTAAAATATATCATCACCTACCACCTCCACTCAACTCACCTACCACACACCTTCACCTACTCCCAAAACTTCTCCTATATAATACATCCTTGTAATATACAAAAGGTACAACAATCTTGTAATCAATCAATCAATAATATATCAGTTTATTTTACATCTCTCAACTATTGAATTACATTTTGAGATTCACATGTCTCAATATATTCTCGCACGATCTAATGATTGAAAGTACAAAATAGAAGAAGGATAGAGGATCCCATACTTACACTCCTTTGTAAAATTTAAAAAATATAAAAATATAAAAAAATATAAAAAGGTAAAAGAAAAATGTGAACATCTTTTTGGCCCAAAAAAAAAAACAAAAGAGTTTGGTGCAAGACATGGCAGCTTTCAACATCAGACAATAACATCCATGTGCTACCCTGCCTGTTTCTATGCAAAAAAGAATTCTAAGTTTTCAAGAAAATAAGTGTTTAACATTCTATGCACTTTGTGAAGTAAATGTATTAATGTAACGTGATTCCTTTCCAACCATTTTGTTTTGTGGTGCATTATATAGGAGCAATCAATGTTCTCTATGTCTCATCTGATGCAATTTATTGAAGTCAATTATAATTTTTTTACTATAAAAATCTATATAAGAGCATTTGATATACTTCTATTATAATTTATTAAGTAAAAATAAGTATTTTTAAATTTTTTACTTTCTAATTATGAATTTTTAACTTTGAGAAAAAATTTACCAAACAAGGCCATAAACTCTCATAGTCCATGATGATTCATGTAACTCATCGATGTTGATCATTGTTAAAACCATTACTTTGAAAACCACACTTCCCCACATGACAAATCTAATTTGCATTTTGGTAATTAAGCACAAAAGCACCCCTGTTTTTTTTGTTTTTTTTTTTAATAAATATATAAATAAAACAAAAACTCTACTAACTACTAACCCAGAAAAATGGATCAAGAAAATTACCATAAAAAAGTCATGTGGTGAGACCATTCATTGATGTTTCTAAGTAAAATTGTGAATAAATTTATAGTAATACTGTACATAAAAAATTTCGTAAGGCAGAAAACAAAATAATTTCGAAATGATCAAAGACATCACACGCCTCCAAATGCACCCCAAATTGAAATTTTAGTGTATGAGAGGATTCAAAAATGTTATCAAATTCAAGAATGTTATCTAAAAATTCAAATTCTCTAAAAATGATGAGAAGCTTATTTTTTAACGATCACAACTAGAAACGTAATAGCAAAGAAATGATAGAGATAAGAGATTGGATGAAAAAGAAGGCAAAGTCATTGGAGAGAGAATAATGATAAAACTCTTCCATGGATCTCTTACTTTTCCTCTTAAGGTAGATAAAAGAAAAGGGAAATTAGTTCTCTCTCAAGAATTGTCTCTCCAAAATCTATCCCTTGTGAAGCTATGGATGGGTGCTATTTATAGACACCTCATGATGTATGATGGAGCCTATGTGCAAGGCACATGAGGAATATTCCCTCTAACTACCTTGTCCGAGGAGATGACCTCTCCAAGGATAAGGAAAACCCCGAAGAGGAGATCAATCTCTCGACGAACCCTTCTTCTTAAACCTTGTTTGAGAACATGTTATTTAGTAACTTCTTGACTTTTTATGAAAAGATGTGCAAAAAAGTAAAGAGAGTTATATGACAACTTATAGTAATTTTTTGACTTTTTTACTAAAATGTATAATCGACAAACGAAAATTTAGCCACACCTAACCAATGATTCTCAATCATTCCAAGGGGTCAGGGGTAGTCCCAGATGATGTCTTACCACAAAAAGGTCAGAGCTAGTTCAAGAGAACGCTCTACCGCAAATATTGATGAATCTCAGGGACCTCCTAGATCGTGCCACGTTGACCCAAGTATAATCTAGTTTAACCAAAGAGTGAATTTATCTCCACTCATCGTCCTCAAGATTGGGCCTCTTGTTCGGACTCCATTACACCCATGGTTCTGGTGCGTAGATCCTGAAAAACTCCGAACCCGCAAATGTTCTGGGACTCATTAATGGAGCAGCTTCTAAATTGCACCCAAATCCGTTCGAAGCCAAGCGCTTCGGATCTCCAGATTCGTGGATCCGAACCATTTCGAGTCCAAGCTCAAATAGGTTTTTAGGTTCGTGATTCCGAACCCTTTCAAAACTAAACCAATACCTCAGAGAATGGAACTCTTCCGAAGTTTTCATCTCTTCTGAAAACAACGATTAACCCCCTCAATGATTAACCCCCTCAGACGCCTGTATAATCTGAGCCTCCTCTGATGGACTTGTTGAACCGTCTTTAGAGATATATACTCGATGGATTTTCCTCAGCCCAATTTGTTAGCCTACTTGTGTACCCGTTCAATAGAATTTATTTAGGCTTATTTTGCTCGATTGAGCCCAATTAATTTAGTAGGCTCAAGTTAACCCCTCTTATAATTATTATATGTACCTAGAGAGGACAAAAGCTTTGAGCAATATTAAAAGACAATCCAAAGTTGCTTCACAATGCTGAATATGGTTAAAAGTCATTGCCTGGGGAATGAAATACACCTTGCCAAACATATATCAAATGCTAGAAACAACAGATGAACCTCGTTTGGTAAAAATGATGTTATTTCACAAGTCTGAAATCCATTCTCTGCAAACTAAATTCAGTTTCTGAGAAATATTCTTCTTACAAAAGAATAGAGCCAAAAAGAAAAAGAATCCAAGAAAGAAGATACAAAAACAAAACCCCCCAAAAAAAATTAAAAAATTAAGAAAAACCTTGAATACAGTAATGAACATAACCATTTTCTAATGGGGTTTCTTCTCTCCAGAATGAAGTGTGATTCTTCAAACCATTTCACACACGATTCATCCCATCTCGAGGAAGTGCAGAAGGAAACGCTCAAGTAGTGCTCTCAGCCCTCCAAATATTCCCGTAGATGTTCAATTTTCGTTGTACTGAAATTCTTTTTACCTATTCATTGAAGTTCCCCATGTTCATATAATTCATATTTACCACTTACAGACGCTATATCAATTTTCGCTTACTGAACCTGCTCACCGATCAAGTCAAGGCCAACCAACAAGAACGATATCCCCTGAAAGAGCAGGAAGTAGAAATGGATACCCTGAGCGGACAAGAGACTCCTTGCCGAAGCTGTTAGAAGAAGGAATGCCAAAGCTAACTCTTTCCTATATATCCTATTATGTTTCTTTTTCTTGGAAGCCTTCTTTTCCTGCTGTTTTATTTCCTCCTGCATTTCCTCTAAATCAGGCTCTGATGCAACCCGTTGAGGCTTTGCCTCTTTTTCAACCAGGGATACAAGATCGCCCTCGGAGGAGCGGCCTGATTTCTTGGTGACAACCCACTCATATGCACTTCCAAGTTGGAAAAGGCCAGAGATCATGGCATTGAACTTGGTCACCGACATTGTGTTTTCAAAGAGAAGGTAGGGAACGATGAAAGGAAATGATTTTGGGGCTGGGAGGATATTGAGAAACGACATGGTGGCAGGTACGTAACAGACGACCCAAACTGGAAGCTGAGCCTCGGGGATGAACATTGTCATGGGGAGAATAATGCAAAAAAGGGTGAATGAATAAAAGGGTAATATCAGTTTTCTTAGGAGGAAGAATAGGAAAATCATATTTGCTTTCTTCCAATTGCTGACCTGCACGAGCAAGAACAGAAACGGAATACTGTCAGTAACTAGAATTCAGCTCATTTTTTTGGTCAAACAAAGAGTTTCACACGCTGCAAATTCAAGCAACAAGTGTTTCAAAAGCTCAATACCTTTGATCGGATAATGTCCGGCAAACAAAGACGAAACAACTGCATAGGCCCAGAATGCCATCTATGCTGCTGTTTCCGGTAAGCTTCATATGATTCAGGTAATTCACATTGGCACTGGAAATGAAGCAAAACACAAAATCATTTACAGCTCAAAAAATAGAAATACTAAGGATACCGACAAGAAGTATCGCATTAATATACCTCCACATCATTGAGGAAGATGAATTTCCATCCATGGAGATGAGCCCGGACAGCAATGTCCATGTCCTCAACTGTGGTTCTCTCTAACCATCCACCCGAATCCTCCAAAGCCTTTATTCTCCACACACCAGCAGTCCCATTGAAGCCAAAGAAATTGAGGAAAACTCCATTCACTTGTTGTTCAACCTCAAAATGAAAAGCTAAATTAACGTGCTGCAACCTTGTCAGTAGGTTTTCATCCTTGTTCACAAACGACCACCTCGCCTGAACTAACCCTACTTCTTCGTTATCCTGCAATGTATGTCCCAAATGGAAGATTGGTTCAATTAGCTTAATTGCAGCGAACTTTAAGACAGATAGCCAAGCTACTCGATTTCCACATACACCTACATCAATGCACACTCAACATTGTTTGCTCAAGAATTTTCAAGAAAATGTGGTCCAATTTATGAAGTGTAATGAAAAACAATTTTGAAACCATTTAATGGAAGATAAGTTCAGTTAAGCTTAGACATAGATAATTAGCCAAGTTTCTCAATTTCCACATACACCCACATCAATGCAGACTCAGTATTGTTCAAGAATCTCGAAGAAAATGTAATCCAGTTTATGAAATTGTAACATAAACAAACTTGAAATCATTTAATGCAAAATAGATTTAGTTAGCTTAATTGCAGTGAACTTAGACAAAGAGAAGCCGCCAAGTTACTCAATTTCCACATACACCTACATCAATGCACACTCAAAAAATAGTATTGTTGTATCAAGAATTGTCATGAAAATGTGGTCAAATTTATGAAAGTATAAAACACAAAAAACTTCGAAACGATTTATACCTTGAAATGAGGAACTGTTTTTTGAAGAAAATCAGGGGTGGGTTGAAAATCCGCATCAAATATGGCAACAAACTCATAGTCCTTGACATAGCTGCAATTCATAGCAGACTTGAGATTGCCAGCTTTGTAACCTTGTCTATCTACCCGGTGCCGGTAGATAATGTTGGCCCCCTCTTGCTGCCATTTATGAACCTCCGCTTGGATCAGCAATTGGGTTGTTGGGTCATCAGAATCATCAAGGATTTGTATAAGAAATTTCGATTTAGGCCAGTCTAAATTGCATACTGCAGCAATAGATTGCTGATAAACCTGATACATCAACTCTAATTTCAGACCAAAAATTCTAAATTTATAAAATAATTTTAAAACCAAAAACAAATGGGTATTTCAAAATCCAAAATCTACCTCTTTTTCATTGCACATGGGGATCTGAACAAGAACCATGGGGAAGAATCCCCCATCGCCGGACTCGAGATCCAGTGGGTCACCTTTGGGAATAGGTTTAATCTTCTTTAATCGGATCCACAAACAACCCAAACAGAGCACTAACCTGTCCAAGCTCTGAACAAGGAAGAGCACTATACACATACTGGTAAGGAACTGAAGAGGTGGAGCGAGATACTCAACCCGAATCAAAACCCACCTCGAATACAACGAATCAAACAAACCCTTAACGTTTAATTGGTTAGCCAACACATACAGGTACTGAAATTGAAGATTTGGGGAACCAAAATGCCAACCCTTGAAATACGCAGCAATCTCAAAACCTAACAACACAACAGATAACCATAGAAACACCTTTATGCAAAAGTACATACGAGCTCGGACTTTCAAGTTCTCGGCGGATCTGGAATTGGAGTCGACGTCGGCGTCGGTTCTTCCGGCAGCAACACGGCGGTGGACGGCGGAGGCGACGCGGAGCATTGCAGAGCCAATGGAGGTGAGACAGCCGGCAGCGCGGTGGGCCTTGAGGAGGAGGACCCAGGTGAGCTGTTTGGCGTTCTTGTTGCGGGTTTTGTCTCGGCCCGTAGCGTCGGCGAAATGGAGGAGGAAGTCGTCGTCGTCGGGGGATTGGAGCTCGACCATGGACCAGTTGTTGGGATTATCCATCTTCACCACCACGGGTGTACCTCTGTGGGTCTCTTTCGACCACCAATCGAACGATGGTGCCATTTTTAGGGTCTGATCTCGAAAACCCACTACACAGAATCGGTAAAAAAAAATAACTCTTTGGAAGCTTAAATTGATTCAATGTCGAAGACCCAGAAGTGGAAAATCTATGATTTTGATCCCATTTTCAAAGAATGGATAGAGAAACATGGAGAAAAAAAAGTGAAGAGGGAAAAGAGTGGAAGCTATGGGTCTTTAGTGCATAGAGACATTGGGATTTAACTTATAAGGTGAAGGTACTGAAGACAGAGAGAGAGGGAGAGAGAGAGAGAGAGAGAGAGGCAATGACTTGGAAGAAGAATCCAAAAGAGCAACCATTCAAATACAGCTAGCTTGCAAAGGCTAAGAAGAAATCGCAATTGTAATAAGAGGAAGAGAGAGAGAGAGCACAGGGAAAGTGAATAAAATATAATAATTCAAGTTATGGAAACAGCTCAACACGTCTTTGATTTTGATTCCAAAATGTAATGAAAAATCAGGAATTTTCATAACATAGATATTAATCAGCAGCACGTTCTCTGTCAATATCAACCCCCCTTCCAAATTCTCTCTGTTCTTTCCTATTTCATTCTAGATAAATTGCAAATATATCTTGAGATTTTTTTAAAATATAAATTAATGTATTTGGTTTAAATTTTTTAGATTAAATTTTTTAAAAATTGAATTTTTTGATTTTTATATTTTTTATTTTTAGTGAATATTTTTAAAATTTTAAATATTTTTTTACTTTTTTAGATGCATCTTACTTAGATAAATCTAAAAAGTAAAAATATTTTAAAAAATTAATAAATACATAGAAATATAAAAAATATACTGAATTCTTGTATTTTTTGTATTTTTGATATTTAGTGAATTTTTAAAAGATTTTTTTTACAATTTTTTTACTTTTTAGGTGTATTTATGTTAAATGTATCTAAAAAGTAAAAAAATTTCTTAAAATATTAAAAAAATCCAGTAAAAATTAAAAAAAACATGAAAAATAAAAAAGTAAAATTTTCTGAAAAGGATTTTTGGAAAAATGGAACCAAGCAAGCTGAATTATTTTTTGTGATTTAAAAAATTATAAATATCTCTCTGTTAAAAATTTTTATTTAACAAAATTAATTAAAAAAATGAAATTTTTAACTGTTCACCTATACAAAAAAATTATTTAAATTATTAATTGAAAGTAAAATTTTAACATTATTAAAAACTGTTAAATAACTTAATGATTTATTAATAAAATGACTTATTTGTTATGAAATTATAAACCTTGGGGGCATAATATAATTTCTAAAATTACAGGAGATAATTTATAATTTAAATAAATTTCAAGAGTGTGTTTGTAATTTATCCTTAATTTTAACATGCAAAAAAATAAATAAATAAATAAATAAAAAATAATCAAATTTTGATAACAATTATAGTGTATAATTTATAGAATTGACAAAAGGGCCTTTTAACAGTGGATTAAAAGTCACTTTTTAACCATTTTTAGTCATATAATTCCTTATATTTTTACACAAAAAATCAAAAAATTAATTTTTAAACATCTTCCTAAGACCATTTCCAACGGTTCATCAAACTTTGTATCAGATTTGAAATTTGGTGAAAAAGTCACTTTTTGGAGCTCCAATGGTTTCACCAAATTGGTATCAAAATGAGAATGGAACAAAAAATTCATCATACTGAGAACAGGCTCCAAATTTCACCATTTCACTGTGCGTTACCGTTGGGGTGGGCCAACCGGTAAACCTACTGGTTGTCCAGCCGGTTGACCAACCGATCGATCGGTTTCCTTTCAAATAGGTAAGTTCAAACAAGTTAAAAAATATATATATTGCCCTTACCCTTTTGATGCACGGTTAGAGCAAGCTATATCAGGTTGAGAAAATTGATTTTTTTTTATTCAAATTTGATAAAAATTTGAGTTCACCATTGAAGAGGCTCTAAAACAACCCAAAAACAGACAGGGTTCTGGAAAAATAAAATGTGTGCTATGCTGTTGTTTTTTGAATTATTATATTATCAACTTCTCTACTTTATTTAAATCGGATAAATTACACTTTTTATATCTAAAATACAACCTTTTGTTCCATTTTTGTCTACTATTACCCGTAGGCTCGTTTGTTTCATGGGAGGGGGATTGGAATTGAAATAGCAGTATGATTCATTGATATTGTGTTTATTTTAGCAGATAGAGAAGAGATTGAGATGGAGGTCTAAATTAAGTTAAGTCTTCAAATGGGAATTGAGATAGAGAATGTGGAGGTTATATTAAAAAAATAGTCTGTCGGACTATTTTATTTATTTATTTTTATTTTTTACATATTGGGTATTTTTTTTTTAACATTAATGCTTAATTTTTTATATTTTTTGTTAAGTCAAAATCATTGTTTTATTTTTTTATATTTTTCTATTTTTTATTTTTTAGGCCTTTTTTTTTTTGAACATTAGCGTTTAATGGTTTTGTATTTTTTATTTATTTTATATAAAAATTATTTAACAATTCCTACAACAACAACTATTATCAAAATAAATACAATTTTACTTAATCCCTTCACTATCAATCCCTTTACTATGAATTCTTTTTATTCTATCTCTGAAAACAAATAGGGTCTTAAACTATCAATTTTTTTAATACAAATTTTTATTTAGCATAAGTTAAAATGAAATTTTTTAACTAAAATAGTCACAAAGAAATAAAATAAACTTTTTAATTCAAAAAGATAAAATATCATATTTAAATTATAATTATTTTTTTTTTTATAAAATTTTAAAAAAAAATTAAAAAATCTATTTCAAATGAGATGTTTATAAAAACTAAAAAAATATCTCCCATTCTAAACTACTTGTATGATTTAGCGAGAAAAAAATACCATAATGATGGACACATACAGAATTGGAAAGCGTGCAGTGTCTTATACGGGTAACATAGTCTGTGCGGCTCATTGGCCCTTATCCCAAGCTCATATTATTGATGTGATTCATTCATATTGTAAAATCCGTTACGTATATTATTTACGATAAAAATTAAATTGATGAATTATTAATAATCTTAAAATAAGGTTATATTTATTTTTTAAAAATAAATAATTAATATAACTTTGATAATTTATTTTAAAACAATTATAATTTAATTATGAAATTAATTATATTTAATTAATTTAATTTTTTATATAAATAATATATTAAACAAACTTTATAATATGAACAATCGATATCATTAAAATATGCTTGGACAAGGGCCACAGCACCACACAACATTTTTCCCAGACCTTGCTAGTACCCAATTTACATATAAAAAGCTTGATTTTTTAGCTATTTTAATTAAAAAAATAAAATAGATTAAAAGGTTAATAATAAAATGTTACATTTGAATTATGATTATTTTATTTCTTCTCTTAAAAAAGTCAAAAAATTCAAACAATTTATAATCCAAAATTAAAATAATTAAAAAATTAAAAAATTAAAAAGTCAATTTACATTTCAAACGAACAGTACATGAAATACAGTAGGCTATATTTTTGCTCCTAAATTGATCTTTCCAGTTTGATCCTTAAAGAAAGGATTTCGCTACATATCGCTTACCAAATTATCAAATTAAACTGATCTAGATACTTTTGAGAGAGAGAATATAGGAGTGAATAAATACAATAGACTGATAGAGATGTGTATGAATCGAAATTAAGACTAATTCAAAACTTAATCAATCATAATTAATTTCAAAATTTTAAAATTAGAATTGAACTAAACCAAATAGCTTGGATGTATAATGCGATATGTATTAGTTGGCATACTAATTAGTATATTAATAGGTGATCTGACATAATTTTAGAGATTTTAGATATTAGTAATTTATATAATGGAATGAGTCAATAAGAATGTCATAACATATGTTAGTACTTTAATTAATATATATAGTACCACCAAACTTGGGTTGATAGGAATAGAATTGTGGATTCATTTATACTTACACAAGTGAATCATTCCTTTATAAAATATAACTTAAAAACTTCAATCTTACATCATGAAAAAAAAAATTAAAAATAAATAATATATAAACAAGTATTTGAACATGGTAAAAGAACACAATCAACGGTATTGAGATAGTGATCACTCCAACTTACACACAAAAGTAATATATGTTTCAAGATACAAATGTGTCGTAACATTTAATTCATATTCAGATATTCGTACACATGGTAATGCTACACTCAAAAAATAAAAAATAAAAATAAAAAAGGTGCCTATTATAGAAATTTTTAACATTTTACATTTTAAGAAATTATCAACTTTTAACTTCCGGATAAAATTATAATATACACCCCTCAAATAGTATATATCATGTGCATTTTATAATTATAGAAGAAAATGATATAATGGGAACCGACTATTTTAGTAATTTAGATAGTGATCACTCCAACTTACACACAAAAGTAATATATGTTTCAAGATACAAATGTGTCGTAACATTTAATTCATATTCAGATATTCGTACACATGGTAATGCTACACTCAAAAAATAAAAAATAAAAAATAAAAATAAAAATAAAAAAGGTACCTATTATAGAAATTTTTAACATTTTACATTTTAAGAAATTATCAACTTTTAACTTACGGATAAAATTATAATATACACCCCTCAAATAGTATGTATCATGTGCATTTTATAATTATAGAAGAAAATGATATAATGGGAACCGACTATTTTAGTAATTTTTTGATTTTTTTATGAAAAGATGTGTAGATAATGAGAGAGAGTGATGTAATAACTTATAATAACTTTTTGACTAAAATAAGTAATCCCCAAATAAGGTCATTACTAAAAATAAAAATAAAAAAGGTCATAACCAAGTACAAATAGTGCATACGGTATGTGGTGTGTATAATATAATTCTTCTTTAACTTACATTTTAAAAAATACTTAAATATAGGGTTATGAAATTGATGCGAAATTACTTAAATACAAATTGGTAGACGATTCGATAATATTAGCGATGTGAATTTAAATTGGAGCTCGCAAGAGGGAGTGTGAATGAATATAGAGAGATGAAAGCATAGAGAGAGAAAGATGGACAATTGTGAAGCTAATTGAGCCCATTTCAGATTTTATTTTGATAATACAAACCGTTCACATTTTAAGATATATGAAGTAGAGCATACCTGTAAAAAATTAAATTCATCAGATATTGATAGCCCTATCATTGAAGTACATTTATATATTTTATACACAAAATCACACTAACCATTCAATTTTTTTAAATACAAATATAATTAAACAAAATATTATCGATATCTAATTAATTTATTTTTTTATAAATATATTATATTTGATTTATTCTAAAAATTAACGATTCAACTTATTAAAATAAAGTCTAAAATAAATCCATTAATCACACAATAGTGATCGCTTTGTTTTATGCACAGCAGTCAACCAAGTTCATGGAAAGGGG